GAGTGGTCACATTTACATAGAGGCCACTTCGGACAGCCCAGAGACCCTCTGTCCTGAAAAGGTAGTTCCGTGGGGATGCAACGCAGGCAGCCGTTGTCTAGGTGCTGTATTTGGGATATGTCAGTAGCGCCGCCACCACCGCCACCACCTTGACCAGTGAAAAGTTTGGAGTGGGGAGAGGTAGGGACTGCCACCAGGTCCAAAATAAAGCACCCCCACAGTTGAGGCCAGGTCAGAGCTAGGCAAGGTTGGAGAGGCTGCCAGGGTTGGGGAACCCTTTATGTTTGAAAGTGGGTCAACCCACAACTAATCTAATCAATGAGGGCCTGCTGTGTTATGCCAAATGCTGTATGTGCTTTCTCCTGTGTTCACTACTGGCACAGAGCTGGTATAGGTGCTCCTGTCTAGCTATCCTTGAAACCACTTCTTAAAGCACAACAAAATCCCCCTAGAATAGCTATCAGTCTGGGTGCTGCACTCTTGCACAGGCAAGGAGTGGGCTGTCAGCTCTGAAGCCAGAAGCTGGAGATCTGGATGAGATAGCTGGCCTTGCTATCTTTGGGCCTTGCAGATAAGGCTGGGCATGGGTCCTAGTTAGGTTGCCACACTGAAAACCCACAAGCTGCTTGGGAATGTATATGGATAAGCCTGAAAATGGTATTTCATCCAGATCATGAAAAACAAATAGTTTACTCCTGAGAGGCTAGAATGTCTTTGTCACTCATACTCAGTGTTGGACAGACAAATATCCCTTATGTCAATGCAGACTTTGGTCCTTGCCCTCTAATACTACGAGGCTTCAAATTTTTTTTGTGTGTGGGGGGGATACTGGAATTTTTCCATAAAATTTTTGAAACTCCCTCATGTTCCTTTAAAGGTAGAATTCAATAGAATGAATTGAGTCAACACTCTTTCAGTTCAGGCTTCATAGCTTTATTACCAGCATAATTTTCAAAAGGCGTAATTTTAGTTCCGACTCATGCTACCCCACTACACTGCCTGCTCCTGTGCCATCGTGAGGTTGCTCTTACACTGGAGCCCATTGTCGCAACTACTACGTTCATCTGTCTTGTTACTCCAGCCTTCTTTACCAAGCACGATACTCTTCTCTAGGGACTGGTATCGCACGTCCAAAGTGCGTGAGAAGTCGCTGTCCTTCTAAGGAATAGGCCGGATATATTTCTTCCAAGACACAATTATTTGTTCTTTTGCCAGTCCATCGTACTTCATTCTTTGACAGCAACACAATTCCAGTGCATCGATTCTTCGTCAGTCTTCCTTGTTCTGTGTCTGTCTTTCACAATTGCATGAGGCAACTGAAAATACCATGGCTTGGGGTCAAGCACACCTTAGTCCTCAAAGTAACATGCTTGCTTTTCAACATGTTAAAGAGGTCTCATGCAGCAAATTTGCAGTGCATCGTTTGAGCTCCTGACTTCTGCTTTCATGAGCATTGACCGGATCCAACGAAGACGAAACCCTTGACAATGATGTCACCTACTGGTCCAGTTGTGAGGGTTTTGGCCTTTACATTGAGTTGTAATCCATACTGCAGGCTGTAATATTGAAGGCATAAAGACAACAAAATCATTTATTGAGTGTTAATGGGTTGGTTCTCCATCAAGTCCCATATCTAAATCGTTGTGCTTCACCTAGACATAAGCTACACGTTACAGGTTAGCATGTTTGTGGATGACTATGAGGTTCCTTGGTTGCTTCTGAAGGACAGGTCTGGCACCCAGCACTCACAAGTGTTCTTGCCCTAAGCAATCTCCTGGTACTAACAATGAAGTTCCTTAGACATGTCTTGTGTAGAGACAAAGTAGATGTAATCCCGTAGTCTACAGGATGTGACTGCAGAACTTTAGAGATAAAAAAGACCACCATTCTCTCATGCTGCTTTAACCCTCCCTAAATTATGCTCTGGTAAGTCATTTTCACTTCCCCAACGATTTTTCTCAGTGCCCCTTTCTTAGCACTTGAAGGTGAGGTCAGGGTACCTTTTGGTGTGATGGAGCCAGTGTTAAACAGCCTCCTGTCCCTGTATTCTGCTGCTTGGCGTATGTAACCAACAGTCTGTCCACACGAAATGTTGAGTGTCTCAAGCACCTGCTGAGCCCCTGGCTCGTGTGATGAGCAGGCAGAGGGAGGCCAGGGAAGGGTTAAAAGGCAGCATTCCGGGAAGGACTGATGAAAAGTTAATGTTATAAAGCATAGGTTTAATGCAATACTAAACACTTGGTGTGTGCCCCAGAGGACTCACTTTAGCATCTTTGACCCCGGCTCTTAGAAGAAAGATGAAGATACATACTCCTGTGAAGATTTGGAAATGTCAAAAACCTAACGGGGCAGTTTCACTATCCTGTAGTGTCGCTTATCCTATAGGAGGGTCATGATGAGTCAATTGACTTGATGACTGTAGGCTTGATATGGTACATACCCATCAGGTGCTAGTAGTGCCAACCCAAAATAGCCCAGAAGTTTCCAAGTTTAATGATGGAGCAGTCTACCCTGCTTAAAAACCAGCAAACTCATCCTTTTGGCTTGAACAGGGAAGGAGTGGTAGATTTCTGGTTAATAAAGTCCCAGTATAGTGAGAAGTGGAGGGGGGAGGGGGTGGCTAGTTGCTGCTTCCCTTTTTCTTGTTCCTTTCACAGGTTTCCTGCAGCACGCAGTTCAAAATGCTGCAGTTGAAGTTCGAGGGTCTAAGGAAAGTGCAATGTTCAAGTGTGCTCAGTTTTGTGGACCAGATCTGGAATCCAGACTTTCCAGTTCCAGGGCTTGTCTTCCATGCAGCTTCTGGAGATCAGTGCGGTTGGTGCCTACTTCGGAAAGAGGAGAGGCAGGAGTGGATTTCAGGTGATTGTGGGGGCCATAGGAGGCGGAGGACACCACAATCCTAGGGATACCCTGGAAGGTTAATGCTACCACAGTTCTAGGGACACGCAGGCCATTCTTCCCACATCACTAGAATTTCTGGGATAGCCTGAATAAACCAATGGATAAATGGCTGGGTTCGGGGCCTAGACTCTAGTGCTAGCCTTGCCCCTGGCAGCTCTGTGTTCTTGGGCAAGTTACTCTTTCCCAGGCTGACTGCTACTATGCACCGCCATTTAGCACGTGGAACAAAACCATAGTCAATCTCCACATGCATCATTGTGTGCTTGCATCCAACTGTGATGAGCCTATGTTAGGTAAGTTGATAGTGATCCTTTATGCTGAACACCCTATCAACTTGATTACAGTTGATGATCACAAGAAAC